AGAAAGAGAAATGATAAACGGATTTTTCTCCAATTTGTAAAACCTAATGGTTGCATATCGGTCCACTCCATCAAGTACCTCCCCCACAAAGGTGAATAATTATAACTCTTATAAACAGTGATTTAAGAGTCGGATTGTCTTCCAACTTTGCAAATCTAAACAGTTGCATCAATGTTAGGTAAGGGCGAAAATAAACTATATCGGTGCATTCTATCAAGTACGTCCTCCACAAAGGGTAAAAATTTTGAATTATGTTGTTGCAAAATCGTCAGGCGAAATCCCATTATTGTTGTTTTTATAAAAACAACGTTTGTTTATGAGTGGAGAACGATGGTAATGTTTACCAGGGGGTAAGGCAGGGAATACCTAGGTTTCGGAAAGAGCCACCAATCCTCATCAGTTCCCTTGTTTCTTGTCTGGGATATTCTCCCCAGAAGTTATTTAAAAAAATAACTTCTATGACAAAAAACATTTTTTACCCAAGTGACGAGATCGTAAGCTCAATAGAAGAGGAACAAAAGAATTACATAAAACTAAAATTCTTTTGGAAAATCTTCTAAATCTTACAACCGCACTTATAAACATTTACATCTTTCTCCACTTTGTTATGCTTTCGTTCAACCTGAACGAAGTAACATAACCATGTAAGTTTGTTTTGTCTGTTACAACAAAAACCCCTTCGTCGACCGTGCCTGTGTCTATTAATAGAACAGAGTTTGGCTTGCTTGTTTGGGATACCATTGTATTTTGTTGTTGCAAAATCGTCAGGCGAAATCCCATTATTGTTGTTTTTATAAAAACAACGTTTGTTTATGAGTGGAGAACGATGGTAATGTTTACCAGGGGGTAAGGCAGGGGGTAAGGCAGCAAGCCAAACTCTGTTCTATTAATAGACACAGGCACGGTCGACGAAGGGGTTTTTGTTGTAACAGACAAAACAAACTTACATGGTTATGTTACTTCGTTCAGGTTGAACGAAAGCATAACAAAGTGGAGAAAGATGTAAATGTTTATAAGTGCGGTTGTAAGATTTAGAAGATTTTCCAAAAGAATTTTAGTTTTATGTAATTCTTTTGTTCCTCTTCTATTGAGCTTACGATCTCGTCACTTGGGTAAAAAATGTTTTTTGTCATAGAAGTTATTTTTTTAAATAACTTCTGGGGAGAATATCCCAGACAAGAAACAAGGGAACTGATGAGGATTGGTGGCTCTTTCCGAAACCTAGGTATTCCCTGCCTTACCCCCTGGTAAACATTACCATCGTTCTCCACTCATAAACAAACGTTGTTTTTATAAAAACAACAATAATGGGATTTCGCCTGACGATTTTGCAACAACAAAATACAATGGTATCCCAAACAAGCAAGCCAAACTCTGTTCTATTAATAGACACAGGCACGGTCGACGAAGGGGTTTTTGTTGTAACAGACAAAACAAACTTACATGGTTATGTTACTTCGTTCAGGTTGAACGAAAGCATAACAAAGTGGAGAAAGATGTAAATGTTTATAAGTGCGGTTGTAAGATTTAGAAGATTTTCCAAAAGAATTTTAGTTTTATGTAATTCTTTTGTTCCTCTTCTATTGAGCTTACGATCTCGTCACTTGGGTAAAAAATGTTTTTTGTCATAGAAGTTATTTTTTTAAATAACTTCTGGGGAGAATATCCCAGACAAGAAACAAGGGAACTGATGAGGATTGGTGGCTCTTTCCGAAACCTAGGTATTCCCTGCCTTACCCCCTGGTAAACATTACCATCGTTCTCCACTCATAAACAAACGTTGTTTTTATAAAAACAACAATAATGGGATTTCGCCTGACGATTTTGCAACAACAAAATACAATGGTATCCCAAACAAGCAAGCCAAACTCTGTTCAATTTTGAATTATTATAATTCTAATAAAAAGTGAATTATCTTCAAATTTCACACATCCCAATATTTCTATCAACACAAGTTCTGGTTTGAATATGATGTATGTCAGTCCACTCCTTCTGGTACCTCAAAGGGTCAACATTTTGAAGAGCCACGAAGCTCGTAAAACTTGAAATGAACAACCTATTATTTTCAAACTCGTCCCGTTCCAATATTCCTCTTAACAAAAGAGGAGTTGTTGTCAACATTTTTAATTCTAATATCTCCCTTAAAACATGAAATAAGAATACGATTCTCTTCAAATTTCACACATCTTAATATTTCTATTAACACAAGATTTGATGTGAAGATTGGATATATTGGTTCAATCCTTCTGCTACCTCCTCCACAAAGGTTTCAAATTTTCGTTGACCAGTTGTGGAGAGGTACAAGAAGCAGTGGACCGATATATCCCATCTTCACACCAGATATTTTTGCTTCCATTGCTTATTTCGCATTTTTTGAGAGATACAATTATTAAAAATTTTAACCCGTTGTGGGGGAGGTACCAGAAGAAGTGGGCTCATATATTCCATTTTCACATCAGATATTTTGTTAGTAAAAATATCGGGATCTGTGAAATTTGAGGAGAATCAGACCCTTTTTTAACAGTTTATAAAAGTGTTAATTATTCCAAATTTTGACCCTTTTGTGGGAGAGGTACCAGAATGAAGAGGTCTATTCTATCCGTTCTTGATACCAGATTTTGTGTTAGTAAAAGAATTGAGATGTGTAAAATTTGAAGACCATGGTATTTTTATTTCACATTTTATAAGAGAAACGATTATTCAAAATGTTTACCCTTTGTGAGGGAGGTACCTGAAGGAGTGAACCGTTCTATCCTATTTCCACACTAGGTCTTGTGTTAATAAAAAATATTGAGGTGCACGTAATTTGAAGACAATCGGATTCTATTAATATTTTATAAAAGTTACAGTTACTCAAAATTTTGTGGGGAAGGTATTTGATGAAGTAGGCCGATATATTCCATTCTCACACCTGACCTAACACTGATACAAATATTGGCATTGGCAAAGTTTGCTCAGAATTGTTCTATAAAGTACATTTTTTTCTGTGAAAATGTTGACAGACAGATCGACGGATGGTCACCTCTATATCGACTCCAAATGTCCTGAAACGGATTTTGGTCCAAACAGACATAAGGTCTAAAACCGTTATTTCAATTTGGCACGTTTTGCTCGTATCAAATGATATATACCCTCTGTAGGCATATGGCTGAGGGTGTAAATACGTATGCCTTATTTCATGGGTACATGCCGAGGGTATTTATCTCTCTGCAAGCCGACTTGTACTTCCTACCTAGTATGTATAACCCATGGTACTATAAAAAGGTAAGGTAGAGCTACCAGCTGATTACAAGTTTTTTTCTAAGTGTGTCCGACTTCTGCCAATTTTGTGTATGTATTTATTGTTTTGAAAAACAAAAAGAAAATATTTTCAAAATCAATGATTGGAAGACGCATACATTGCGGCTACTAACCAGTTTAGCTATGAAATTGAAAGACCGAACAGTTTGGATTATATTTTCGAGCGAAAATCCAGGAATTTTATTCATATTTCGGTCATTTCAACTCGTTTTAAAAATGAGGAAAATATGAAAAAAATAACACAACTTGTTTCATATAATTTTGACTGAGTCTGACAGGAAGCGGGCATAGTCTTAGGGCTGTATTTCTGTAGTTTTACTAAGCTCTTCAACCTCCTTTTTGTACCATGTATGACCTATATCTACTTCTCAATGAAATTTTCAATAGAAAATATTCCCATTCTCAACGGCACATCACTACTAAATTGCACCTGTAGTTAATTCATGGCAATAGATTAGATTAATTGCCCTAAACTAATTGAAGAACTCAAACAAGAGACCAATTAAGAGATGTTTACGAAGATAGCTCACTTGTAAATTATAAAAAAAATCCCACACACAGGCACTTCTTCAGCGATATCCTTGTCTTACAGGGAGAAAAAAACTAATTTGTGTGCCAGGGCTGTGGTGTGAAATGCTGATAATCTGTTGATGCACTCAATTAACTAAATCGGACAGGAGGATTCGACACTGGTCAGTCAGTGTGCCAAAGAGCACCACAAGTGTCTCAACACAAATTGATTACCACTTGCCGTCCCTGCTACATCGGAGCATCCTGCTTTTATCTATTTCTTGTTGTTGATTTTATATTTCCAAATAATTGGATAATATTGTCATCATTCCGGGGGTTTCACTACCTCTCTCTCTCTCCCTCTCTCTCTCTCTCTCTCTCTCTCTCTCTCTCTTCTGTCTCCCGGTCCAAAGAATTGCCTTGCCATGTCTTTATTAAATGACAGACAAATAAAATAAAATATTTGTTTACATTGCCTAAATAACAACTCCATTAGTAAATGATGAGGATGATGGCGATGGTGGTGGCTACGATGGTGCCTCTGACGCCTGCAACACAATCAACCACACATTCGGTGAAGATTTCTTTTATAGATTATATCAAGGATGTTGGAATGTCATTGGTGTCTGCTTAAGGTCTTAGTCACAAGGCAGTGGTGAATTGTTGTTGGTGGTGTTTTTTTTTTCTTCCTATTATGGCGATAGTGTAAAAATCATGGACAGCATCACCATCACTAGTCAGTGTCCTCATCAAACCAGTCAATGCGCATTGTGTGGTCTGGTCTTCATTTGAGGTTTTTATTGGGTCACATTTCTCAAGATCACAACCATAAACACCATCCAATCACACGAATACAAGCGCGCACACACCCACAAACCTCATTTCGAACTTGGTGTACAACTAGCCATCCATCCAGCCATTCGAACAGCAAACCTCTGTGGGAATTCCTCCAATACAATGCCATGGTATTGTGCGAACATCAGAATGGAACATTGAACCATTGAATATCGAGACCATCAAAAATGAAATGATATCAACGATAATTAAATGGAATTGTTCTTGGGTGTGGGAAAGTGCCGATGTTGCTGGTGTCTGTCTGTTGAGGGCGTGAATTGTCATTTGTATCTACAATTAATCTCCTGTGTGTGTGTGTAAGGTGATAACAAATTTGAAACCATTATTGTTGAGTGTTTTTTTCTAAATGGTTCGTTTTTATTCTTCGTGGTCTATTTTAAAATTTTTCAATTTCAACAGAAGGCCCTGTGTGCTTTAGTATATCCCGATCAATGCCATTAACCAATAAGGCCACTTCCAGATTTAAATGGGCCACATCGTCTTTGAGTTTGGCAACAGCTTTTTTGATGGTCATCACAAAACCTGGAAAGAGAGCAAATTATGAAAAAATAATTATTTTAGACAAAAATCTGTATGTCAAAGACCTATTAAGCCTTCTTGGACCTTTTAGGGTCCTCTATAGAAATAAGACTGAAGATTTAAAACAAGTAAAACCAGTAAAGAAAGTCCTAAAGTCGGGCGGGGTCGATTTTATGATACCCTACACCACTTTGCTAATTTAGTTGAGCTCCACTTAATAATTAAAAGTTTTTATGGGAGAATTCAATCATACACGCTATGATTATAATTATAATTTAAAATTCAAAGGACTAAATATGCCGAAGCATTTGTATCTTGTAAATTCGGACTTGTATTGCCCATTTGGTGCGAAATTAATTTGAAATCGGATAAAAATATATATGGGAGCTATATCCAAATCTGAACCAATCTCGATAAAATTTAGCAAAGGTATTTCTGAGCTGCATTTGACATATTTCCCCAAATATTGTTGTTACAGAGTGTATATTACGGCTGCGGAGGACAAAAATAACAAATCGGATGAACAATATATATGGGAGCTATAGCTATATCTGAACCGATTTCGATCAAATTTGGCATACTTATTTTCAGGCCTAATTTGGTTGTATGTGCAAAATTCCATACTATTCGTTTGGTGCACAATAAAAGGCAAATCGGACGAAGATATATATGGGAGCTATATCTAAATTTTTACAGATTTTCTCCAATTTCAATAGGGTTCGTCCTTGGGCCAAACAAACGTTGTTTGCAAAATTTCATCTCAATCGGATAATAAATGCGACCTGCATTTTGTTCACAAGAATACATGGACGGACGGACGGACAGACGGACTGACATGCATAAATCAACTCAGAAAGTGATTCTATGCAGATCATCAAAAAAATGCACAAAGACATAATACCCTGACCACCTTGTGGTGTAGGGTATAAAAACATTAAGTTCGGTCGGGCCAAACTGTTAATACCCTCCACCTTAGGGTAAAGGAAACATTAGGAGAAATGTGGCAAAAACCATTAAAATGCCAAATATCGGGAGGTATCGTTATATGGGGGCTATACCAAATCATGGACCCATACATGCAATGTTTCGCCACCGGAGCTGGAACCCACAAATACCAATTTTTAGACAAATCCGTGAAAAAATGTGGCAAAAAAAACTAAAATACCGAATATCGGGAGGTACCTTTATATGGGGGCTATACCACAACGTGGACCTATACATGCAATATTTTGCCACACGCTCAGGGACCCGTTATGACCTACAAATACCAATTTCCAGACAAATCCGTGAAAAAATGTGGCATAAATCATCAAAATACCGAATATCGGGAGGTACCGTTATATGGGGACTATACCAGAACGTGGACCGATATATCTCATTTTCAATACCAACCATCCTAGACACAATGCAAATAGCTCTGCTAAATTTTGGCACTCTACGTCAAATAATGTGGGCTGTATCGTGATGTCAACAGACAGACGGACAGACAGGCAGACGAACATCGTTATATCGACTTAGAATTTTATGCTGATTATGAATATATATACTTTATGGGGTCTACGACGAATATTTAAGGATGTTACAAACGGAATGAAAAAGTTACCACCTTTCCAAGGTGGAGGGTATAAAAAGAGTTTATTCAGACATAAGACCTTTTACAAGACTATTTGAGGTACTTTCGCAGACTGAAGTCCCTTCAGGGGACTAGAAATTGAAATTTGCTGGTGAGCAGGATTACTCAAAGAGTGGGAGTGGGAGTTTTTTACGGAGTCTATTCTTCACTCTTTTCTTGTGTGTGGGAACACTCCCGCTAAGTTCGACCGGGATGAACTTTTAATACCCTCCATCTTGAAGAATAGCAAAAAAATAAAAATCTGTCGAAAAATACCACTTAAATGAAAACCGTTATGTGAGGGGCTGTACGTATACGTGGACCTGCAAAAGTATTTTTTTGTCATAGGCTGTAGTACCGATTCCGAATTACAAATACGAAAATTGAAACAATTTCGGTTAATAATGTTGCAAACATCATCAGAATACCGAATAAAGGGAGGTACCGTTATATATGGATTATACGAAGACGTGGAACTGTATTTTTCCATCATAGGTTGCAGTTCTCATTAATAGCTTCAATCTTTAAATACGCAATTTGAAACAATTCCGGTCAAAAATTTGGCTAAAAACATAAAAATACCGAAAATCGGGAGGTACCATCATATGGGAGATATAGGATATCGTGGACCTATATAGAGAATTCTCTTCCAGGGGGTAAAGTACTCAGAAGGAACTACTAATATTATAAAAATACCGAATACCGGGAGGTACTGTTATAGGAGAGATATACGATATCGTGGACCAATAAGTGGAGGAAATAAAAAGAGGGGGAAAAGAGAAGAAGGGGGTGTCATCTTGGACAGAAAAAATACACATAAATTGAAATACAACAAGGACATGGCACAAACTAAGCGGGTGCTCGGCAAGATAAAATCTGTTTGATTTTGAACAAATTTTGCTCCCACTCAAAAACCAGGAAATGTACTCAAGCCTATTCGAGAGACAATGAAAAATTGAGTTTGCTCTGCTCCCAGGAAAGCTTCCGCTCGAATTCGAGTGAGGTTTTTGGAGGACTGCTTTCTGCAGACAAAAGAGGTGTAAAACCTTCCAAAGGTGTAAGACCTTCTAGGGAACAAATATTTTTCGAAGGTCTTCTTGAGATCGAGAGTCTTTTCACTATATTTTAGGAAATTTTTAGGGGTTGTCATAATAAGAAGATAATTTGAAGGCAGAAAGTCCTTTGAATGTATTGTATGGAGAGAAGACATTTTGAAGGTCTTAAATGGTCGAAAGGCCTTTGAATGTCGGTGAACACAGCAGACCCGTCGAAGGGCTTCTATGGAAAAAAGTTATATACAAGGCCTTTTAATGGCAAAAGTAGGTTCTTCTAGTAACCTAAGTTCTGATATAGTCCTTCTTTTGTAAAATGAGGGTCTTCTAAGTGTTTCAAGAGCCTGAAAGCCTTTTAAAGCTTGAAGGCCTTTCAAAGGTCTTTTAGAGACCGAAAACCTTTTAAAGGCTTCTATTAACACAAGACCTTCTAAAAGTCTTCTCTAGCCAGAAGGCTTTACAAAATTCTACCACAGACAAAAAAAAATGGTCTCTCTATGAATCGAAGGCCTTTTTAAGATTTTCAACAGACCGAACACATGTAAGAACTTTTTTACAGACAAAAGAATTTTAGAGAATCTACTACAGACCGAGGACATTTTGATGTTCTTCAGGGGGACCAAAGACCTATTGAGGGCTTTAAATAACTTGTTGAAGTACTTTTTTATCTTACGTCTTTCTACGTGTCTTTAAGAGTCCGGAAAACTTTTGAGATCATCTCTACACACTGGAGACTTTTAGAAGGTCTTCCATAGACAGAAGACGTTTTAAAAATCTTCGCTAGTCAAAGCACTGATTTAAGGTCCTCTATGGACCGAAGGCCTCTTTAAAATATTCTATGGACTATGGAAGGCCTGTTATAGGTCTTCTATAGACCGAAGACCTCAAAAGAGGCGTATACAGACGAAAGATTTTTAGAAAAGCACCTACAGGCCGAGATCGTCTCGTAGAAAACTTGTTCCTTCGCCTTCCTTTCCTTTAGAATAAATTCAAAGCTTTTCGTTATGTTGATAACCCTCAAAAGGTCTTCTGTTTAGTGGAATATGAAAAGATCTTCTAGTAGACTTCTTCTATCCATATGCATTATTTAAGAGGTCTTTTCTCGAAAAAAGGCAGTTTAGAAGTCGTCTCCGTAGATAGCACCTTTTGAAGGTCTTCTTTCTAAAGAAAATCTGTAAGAAGGCAGTTTAGAAGTCCTCTCCGTACACAGCACCTTTTGAAGGTCGTCTCTTGAAGAGTTCGTCTATCTAAAGAAGACCTTTAATAGGATAAAGTGGACAGACGCCTTCTCTATAGAACCTCCTTAAACGACACTTCTCTTCAGGGAAGATTACTAAAAGGTTTTCTCTCTGTAGAAATCATTTAAGAAGTTTTCTCCCTAAAGAAGACCCTTAAGACGGGCTTTGATAGGCTTACCCTCTTTAGAAAATGAAGAAGAGATCTTGTCCATAGAGATGACCTTAAAGACGCCTTCTCTCTTGAGAACTTCAAATGGTATTCTCACTTGTAAAGAAGTCTCTTCCCTAAAGAAGACCATTAATAGGTAAAGAAGAACACAGAGATCTTCCCTCTCTATAGAGGATTTTAAAGAACTCCTCTCTTTAAAAAAGGTGTAAGAGGTCTTCTCTTTTTGGAAATCATGTGAGAGGTCTTCTTCTGTTTAAAAAAGCCAGTTAAGAGATCTTTTCTACAAAGAAGACCTTCGGACATTTTAAAGGTTTTCCCCATAAAGAAAACCTTAAAGAATTCTTCTCTCATGAATAGACTTCAAATGTATTCCATGTGTAACACGAAAAAAATTATTTTGTTTAAAAATTCTACAAATTATATCCTATGTAATACTACTATAGGTCCCAGAATACATCAAAAGTCTAGGTCTTTCCGAATATCTCCAAAAATGTGGTTGGTTTAATTTGCAATGTCAACATTCAAAAGACCGATACATGATTTAGCTCTAATTTTATAATCTACTTGATCTTTCCTGTAATTTTTCCGAAGATTGTCTGTCTCTGAGAGGCTTTTCAATGGTCTCTTGCCCTTTTAAAGATTTAAAGATTTTCGTTTCCACTACCTACTGAAGTTCTTTTGTTGGTAAATGTTCTTTAAAAGTCATTCTGCCGGAGAAAATCTAATAATGATCTTCTATCCATAGATCTCCTCTTAACGTTCATCTATCCCCAAAAAAAAAATCCTAAGTCTTCTATTATAGCAGCCCTTTTTTTAAGGACTTTCCCGAAACTCAAAAAATGCAATTTTTTCTAGGTTACAAAACTTACTGCTATCCGACATCATTTGTCCGCGCCTTTCCATTTCGGCCTTCTTGTTATCATTTTCAGCTATCACAGATTTCAGCTGTTCCACCGAACGCTCGGTCTCCTCCAAAACTTGAGTATGGGCATACTGGATATTTGATAGCTCTATAGAGACATCCTTGTATTGAGTTATCAAATTATGCAGTTCATTATTCAAATGCTTTTCACGGCTTTCAATTTTCTCCAGCGAAAATGTAAACTCATTGTGGAGTTTCTTCAACTCCAATTGGGTGTTTTCCGTGGCCTGGAAAATTTTAAATTCGAAATAAAAAAATTTTCTTTAAACAAAAATCTCAACCCACCTCAGTTATACTCGATTTCAATGAATCCATTTGATTCATATGCGCCCTCCAGTCCCTCACATCACTCCTCACATAGACCTTCAGCTGAGGCAGAACCTGTTCAAATTCCAAACGCCATGACTGCTGATCCGTTAACCTATCCGTGACCTGTAAACTATTTCCCCCACTACTATCTAACAGCTGTTGATTATGCTGATGATGATTTCGTTTACGTTGACTCCATTGCCTCAACGAATTTTGATTTAAATCCAATTCACTATTATCATCATCACTCATCGCCTCATTCTGCTCATCTTCAATACGTTCCAATATAATTTCTGCATTATCTTCCAAATAATCATTGGCCACTTCATCCTCCTGGGTTATATGTAAACGTTGACAGGACATTTTCATAACCTTGATGGCCTGGGTGGCCAAAGTATCCAGGACATAAATACACTGGTGTCCAGCACCACGTATCAATTTAGTGGGGCCGAAATCTACACTTATATCCATTTCTTCCAATACGCCAATAATACGATTTATAACATCATTCGGATCATCATATTCCTGGGGTCGTTGCATTGTTTTTCCTAGCTTTTGGCACAACCACCAACAGATTATGGTAAACATGAAAAACTGTTCTCCAGGGTTGGTCGACTTCACAAAATAAAATCGAGACAATGGTTTCATTTTCAATTCACTCAACAAATTCTTTTCGTAATTTAATAACTTCAGTTTCTCCAATAAATCATCTGATTGGAAATTAAGCAATGGTAAATTGTTGGCATCTGCTGAATTTGGAATATCTTCCATTTTTATGGCCTAAAAATCCTTATTTTTCTTAGGAAAAAAATATATACTTTATGTGAAAACACAAAACACTATTCACGGCTTCTTAATTCCAAATTAAGTAGTTTTTATCACCAAGGAAACGATAACATTAACATATCACCCAATTATACCTCTAGTGATAGTGTGGCAACTCTAACTTAATTCTTAATTCCGTTACCTATTCATCCAAACAATGTATGGCAATGCTCTGTTGTCATCAACTAAAATTATTTATGGCAACATTGCCATCTCTCCACTTCACATTAGTTTCAATGAAAACACTTTGTTATACACTATCTACTAACAGATGTCGCTGCAAGGCACAAGTACAACCTAAACCAAACGCGTATTTTTCAACTTAGAAATAAATACATGTATTAAAAAGAGGTGTTGATTCGAATCGAAATATAAAATCTACTAATGTTCTTGGTACAATGAAATCAAGGTAGGGCACATCTACCAATCGATTTTAAATTCTTGTTTACTTGGCTGAAATGCTAAAAATTGTTACAAAAAATTCAAATTCAACCCAAATGCTTATAAAAAAGTATGTATGGAAACAATTTACCCATTATGTGACATAATAAGTATTTGGAAATACAGGGTGAAATAAAAAAACTCTAACAAAGTCAAACGCCATAATTTTTACATTTTTTTTAATTTTATTAAATGAAAGCAAACAATGTCGGAAATAGCATCAAATTTTAGAAAAAGTTCAGATTTGTTCGAATTTGTCACCTTTGGCACGAATTGTGGCCTTCAAACCGTCACACGCTGTCCGAATGTTGCTCTGCGGTATTTTGACCCATTCCCGGCGAAACGCTTGCTTGCGATGATCGACACGTTGGTATTTTTTAGTGCTAACCTTGCTTTCCCAAATACTCCAGACACAATAGTCCAACGGATTGGTATCCAGAGATTGTGGTGACCATTGTGCGCTGGAAATGAAGCGAGGAACCTCATTTTGTAACGTGCTGAGTGCGATGGTGCTTACTCCTGTTACTCTAAGGTCTGCGGCCAAAAATTGTCGCGATAATATTCGGCATTCATTGTGATGCCACGGTCAATTAATAGGAGCGGAGAGCGTTCATCAGCTGTAATGGCGGCCCACACCATCACCATGGCCGGCGCTTGAGTTCTGGTGGCCAACCGAAGGTGCACATTTCCAGCTGACCTCTTTGACAAGACAAAATCACGATCATTTCGTTTGTTTACAAACTGCTGGACAACGAATGTCTTCTCATCGGGGGGACCGAATTCGGCAGTTCCCCACTTTCGGCCAAGCGAAGCAACTCTTTGGCTCTTTTGAGTATATTTTCTTTCTGTTGCGGTGTAAATTCTTGCACTTTTGGAATTTCAATGGCTTTACCCCGAGCTCATTTTTCAATATTTGCCGAATGGAATATTGCGATATGTTCAGCTCACGAGCCATGTTTCGGCCACTGCGACGTGGGTTTCGATCAAGTCACTTCTTTACTTTTCGAACCATTTCTGCTGATGTTCCTTTTTTCTTCCGTCCACTACCCTGACGTCGAACGATGGTACGAGACACAAAATATTTATTCACATTTAAATGCTGGAGTGCTCTAACGATAGCCACTTGTAGTTGTCCAGCCAAATATAAGTTGTCCAGCCAAATATTCCATCACGAATAACTTTTTTTTTTTGGAAAATTCTAACCAAAATGCTTTTGTATGCTTGTAAATAATGAGCTGTCACTTGGAAAATTTTAACAGCTGTCGGACGAGTGGCTTAGAAATGACAGCAGTTTGAAGTTGGTTGCAGTTGCTTCATCTCTTTCATTCAGAATATGATTTTGAAAAGAAATGTTGACCCTTCATTCAGTTTCCGCGGTTTTCAGTTATTTATTTAAAACCAATACAACAAGTTGTTTGGTTTTCTTATTGTTTTGATAGTAATTCTGGCATTACAAGCCAAACAAGTTAGCCTACCTTGTCTTCATTGTACCATGGCTTTACCCGTGGTACAATAAGGAGGAAGAACAGCTTCGTAAAACTACAGAAATACAGCCCTGAGGCTATACCCATCTCCTGTCAGACTCATTAAAAATTATATACAACATGTTTTTTTTTTTTTTTCATATTTTTCCTTATTTTTAAATTCTTGCAGTTCTGGATTAGGCCATTCTTTGCATAAAGTTTCTATCTGTCCCATTTTATTTCGCAATATTGCTTAAATTTTCGAATGAGAAGCCCTCACAAAATCCCACTCCTGTAAAACAATGCTTATTGAGCCACATTGTCCAACGCCGTCAGAATTTAAAAGTGCCTCTGTTATTTCTTCATTTCATTCATTTGAAGTTTGCGAAGCAGCACTGTAGCGCTAATTATTATTTTTCAGAATATTTTTAATTTTTTTTGTACATTAGGGAACATAACAACTGTTTAGTACAGGTATATCGTTCGATAATATCGATAGAAAAAAACTTTCATTCCAAATATCTTCTTCAAATAAAGTATCGATATATCGATTTTGTCATCGATTGTTTGCCACCGCTATGTTATTGTTTACTGGAAGCCAGTAGTGCAGAATAAATTTTTGACAACAACAACAGCAATATTAGCGCAAAAATAACAACGCAGCAGGTCATTGTTAAATAAATAGATAAACCAAACGTACGTTGTTTTGTCCAATGCTGTTTTGATTTGTTTTCTTTGTTTACGGTGGTGATAAGTGTTTTTTGTTGTTGCTTCAGTGTGTGCGATTGATTAACATTCTGTGCATTTTCTTACCTTCCCCAACGACAATCGAAGAATAGAATTAGAAATATACAACTTCCCAAAAAATTCCAAAGAACATTCGAACCAGAACGAACTGCCTCATATCAGTTAGCATTGCAAACAGTAACATTTCATAGCAATACACGTTCGTGGGAAGGATGCGCCATTATTTGCTGCTAGTAATTGTTTTACTGGCATCACTTCATGCGGGCCAAGCTTGGTGGCCATTTAACAAAAAGAAATCTGCTCCTGTGCCACCGGAAAATGTGGAGAAACGACTATCACCTGTGATATTTGGTAAGATGATCAATTATTTTATAATTTCATTGTGTTGTTTTGCTTATTTTTCATTTTCATGATAAGAATTCTTGTTAGCCTTGATTAGTAGTAGTTTCCGATGAATGTTAATGAGAGACATATCAACTAAAAATTTATGCTTAGGGATCTATTTGTATAGCTGGGAAATGATCCATCAATATCAAAAAAGTCTTTCTTAATCTTCCTTACTACAAAATATCAACAATAGTATAAAAATCGGCTCTTCGACGGTATAAATATGTAGATAGAATGTCATTGAAACCAGAATTGATCTCTATAAGGCTATTGCGGAAGTTCGTGTTTCAAGAAAAAAATTGGTTTGTTACATTCTGATCTCGGGCAAACTGCATACCAAAGAAAAGCTATTCTTTATGATGAAAGATTGTTATAAAATAGTATTTAACATTAGCTCTTTTCCAGAACCTGCAAAAATCTAATAATAGAATATGCAGAATATAAAACGTAAGCAAAGGCTATAGTCGTGCGGGCCGACCATGTGATTCCTTACAACACCACAATATGTTAGAAGCCCCCTTATGTCCAAATCTATTTTAGAAGATTTCGATTTTGAAATTATGTCATGGAGCACTGCCCAGATATTACACTTAGCATTTTGACCAGGGACATTTGCCCAATATTTACGCACTCTGTCGTGGTGTTAGTTGTTGTGGTCCATTTTACAGCCAAATATAATCTGATGGTCATCCAAAATGCTAGAATTCTTCTCTGTCCTTACCTCTCTTCTCAGGCGTGTCGATTGGCTTCAATTGTGTGATCAGGAAAAATTTTCTGTTGTTGGTTCATTTGAACCGCTAAATATTTTGCATTGTTTGTGATAAGACATTACCATATTCATATTCGAAATTTGAAATAAACGGTGAATAAATTAGCTAAAATCATCAAAATATCGTACATAGGGATGTATCGTTATGTGGAGGCTATACGAAGACTTGGACCAGCATAGACTCTCATTCTGTCATAGGCTGTAGAATCCATTACGAACTTCAAATATGACATCTCAAACAATTTCGGTGGGTGTTGTACCTAAACTCGTCAAAATACCGAATATAGGGAGGTACTGGTATGTGGGGCCTATACGAAGACCTGGACCAGCATAGACAATTTTACGTCACAGACTGTAGTTCACATTACGAACTCTAAAAAAACGTAATTTGAAACAATTCCGGTGAATAATGGCGTTAAAATCATCAAAATACCGAATATTGGAAGGTACTGCTATATGGGGGCTATACGAACACCTGGACCTGCACAGACAATTTTCTGTCATAGGCTGTAGTATTCATTACGAACTTCAAGTACCAAATTTTAAACAATTTCGGTTAATAATGTTGCGAAAATCATCAAAAGACCGAATATAGGGAGGTACCGTTATATTCCTTCCATCAATCATTGCCCTACAAAAACACTACACTTGGATCAAGTCCCCTCCTTTTAATCAATCATTTCCTTATAAAAATAGACCGCCAGCTAATTTTCTAGTCATAAACTCTATGTTTAGGAAAAAAAAACAAACTTATTATCAGTGTTTTTGACATTCGTTACGCACCAATAGAATTTTTAATCCAAGCTGCATTAACATTGCTTTACTTTTTTATTGTAAAGTAATTATCATCGCTGTTATTTGTATTATTGTTGTTATCAACGAAAACGGAATGGTGTGTTTTTAATAATACATATGTATAAAAACAGATCATTCTGTGTGTATATATATGTTTGTATACAATTCTTTATGGAAGAGGCCAACTCATTTCAAGGGGGTTTATTTGAGGGATTTTTAATTTCGACTTGATTTGCATTGGTCATTGGATACTTGTTGTCGCAAATGATTCATTCAATTCATTCATAAAGAATGAAGTATGTATGTCGGTTACTTTTTTGGATGGTTGCATGTGCTATTGTGTGTAATGTGATATTTTATCGTACAATAAGTGCGCTCACGTTCCTGACCCTGCCACACGATATGTTCCTATTTCCGCGAAATGGGGTGATGTTGGGATAATTTCAAGATTTGCACATTTTGGAAGCAACATTTATGGAGGATCAACTGAGCTATATTTGGAGTTGGATTTTGAAAGAAAAATTTGGATCTCTTTCAAGGAGACCATCCGACTAATAACCGGGATTTTTTGTCAGGACCATCGGATTAATAAACGTGGATTTTTTAAGAATATTTTTTCTAGGACCTTCAGATCAATAAACGTGAATCTTTTAAGAATATTTTTTCAAGGACCTTCAGATCAATAAACGTGGATTTTTTAAAAATATTTTTTCAAGGACCTTCAGATCAATAAACGTGGATTTTTTAAGAATATTTTTTCAAGGACCTTCAGATCAATAAACGTGGATTTTTAAAATATTTTTTCAAGGGCCTTCAGATCAATAAACGTGGATTTTTAAAATATTTTTTTCAAGGACCTTCAGATCAGTAAACGTGGATTTTTAAAATATTTTTTCAAGGACCTTCAGATCAATAAACGTGGATTTTTAAAATATTTTTTCAAGGACCTTCAGATCAATAAACGTGGATTTTAAACGTGGATTTTTTAAGAATATTTTTTCAAGGACCTTCAGATCAATAAACGTTGATTTTTTAAGAATATTTTTCAAGGACCTTCAGATTAATAAACGTGGATTTTTTAAGAATATTTTTTCAAGGACCTTCAGATCAATAAACGTGGATTTTCTAAGAATATTTTTTCAAGGACCAAAAAAAACAATAAACTTGGACCAATAAACATGGATTTTAAAGAAGATTTTTGCAAGGTCAATAAACGTGGATTTTTAAGAATATTTTTTGAAGGACTTTCAGATGAATAAACGTGGTTTTTTTAAGAATATTTTTTCAAGGACCTTCAAATCAATAAACGTGGATTTTAAAAATATTTTTTCAAGGACCTTCAGATCAATAGACGTGGATTTTTTAAGAATAATTATTCAAGGACCTTCAGATCAATAAACGTGGATTTTTTAAGAATATTTTTTCAAGGACCTTCAGATCAATAAACGTGGATTTTTTAAGAATATTTTTTCAAGGACCTTCAGATCAATAAACGTGGATTTTTTAAGAATATTTTTTCAAGGACCTTCAGATCAATAAACATGGATTTTTTAAGAATATTTTTTCAAGGACCTTCAGATCAATAAACGTGGATTTTTTAAGAATGTTTTTTCAAGTACCTTCAGATCAATAAACGTGGATTTTTTAAGAATATTTTTTCAAGGACCTTCAGATCAATAAACGTGGATTTTTTAAAATAAACGTGGATTTTTTAAGATGTTTTTTCAAGGACCTTCAGATCAATAAACGTGGATTTTTTAAGAATATTTTTTCAAGGACCTTCAGATCAATTAACGTGGATTTTTTAAGAATATTTTTTCAAGGACCTTCAGATCAATTAACGTGGATTTTTTAAGAATATTTTTTCAAGGACCTTCAGATCAATTAACGTGGATTTTTTAAGAATATTTTTTCAAGGACCTTCAGATCAATTAACGTGGATTTTTTAAGAATATTTTTTCAAGGACCTTCAGATCAATAAACGTGGATTTTTTAAGAATATTTTTTCAAGGACCTTCAGATCAATAAACGTGGATTTTTTAAGAATATTTTTTCAAGGACCTTCAGATCAATAAACGTGGATTTTTTAAGAATATTTTTTCAAGGACCTTCAGATCAATAAACGCGGTTTTTTAAGAATATTTTTTCAAGGACCTTCGGATCAATAAACGTGGATTTTAAAGAATATTTTTTCAAGGACCTTCAGATCAATAAAAGTGGATTATAAAAATATTTTTTGAAAGACCTTCAGATCAATAAACGTGGTTTTTTTAAGAATATTTTTTCAAGGACCTTCAAATCAATAAACGTGGATTTTAAAAATATTTTTTCAAGGACCTTCAGATCAATAAACGTGGTTTTTTTAAGAATATTTTTTCAAGGACCTTCAAATCAATAAACGTGGATTTTTTAAGAATATTTTTTCAAGGACCTTCAGATCAATAAACGTGGATTTTTTAAGAATATTTTTTCAAGGACCTTCAGATCAATAAACGTGGATTTTTTAAGAATATTTTTTCAAGGACCTTCAGATCAATAAACATGGATTTTTTAAGAATATTTTTTCAAGGACCTTCAGATCAATAAACGTGGATTTTTTAAGAATGTTTTTTCAAGTACCTTCAGATCAATAAACGTGGATTTTTTAAGAATATTTTTTCAAGGACCTTCAGATCAATAAACGTGGATTTTTTAAGAATGTTTTTTCAAGTACCTTTAGATCAATAAACGTGGATTTTTTAAGAATATTTTTTCAAGGACCTTCAGATCAATAAACGTGGATTTTTTAAGAATGTTTTTTCAAGTACCTTCAGATCAATAAACGTGGATTTTTTAAGAATATTTTTTCAAGGACCTTCAGATCAATAAACGTGGATTTTTTAAAATAAACGTGGATTTTTTAAGATGTTTTTTCAAGGACCTTCAGATCAATAAACGTGGATTTTTTAAAATAAACGTGGATTTTTTAAGATGTTTTTTCAAGGACCTTCAGATCAATAAACGTGGATTTTTTAAGAATATTTTTTCAAGGACCTTCAGATCAATTAACGTGGATTTTTTAAGAATATTTTTTCAAGGACCTTCAGATCAATTAACGTGGATTTTTTAAGAATATTTTTTCAAGGACCTTCAGATCAATTAACGTGGATTTTTTAAGAATATTTTTTCAAGGACCTTCAGATCAATTAACGTGGATTTTTTAAGAATATTTTTTCAAGGACCTTCAGATCAATTAACGTGGATTTTTTAAGAATATTTTTTCAAGGACCTTCAGATCAATTAACGTGGATTTTTTAAGAATATTTTTTCAAGGACCTTCAGATCAATTAACGTGGATTTTTTAAGAATATTTTTTCAAGGACCTTCTGATCAATTAACATGGATTTTTTAAGAATATTTTTTCAAGGACCTTCAGATCAATTAACGTGGATTTTTTAAGAATATTTTTTCAAGGACCTTCAGATCAATTAACGTGGATTTTTTAAGAATATTTTTTCAAGGACCTTCAGATCAATTAACGTGGATTTTTTAAGAATATTTTTTCAAGGACCTTCAGATCAATAAACGTGGATTTTTTAAGAATATTTTTTCAAAGACCTTCAGATCAATTAACGTGGATTTTTTGAGAATATTTTTTCAAGGACCTTCAGATCAATTAACGTGGATTTTTTAAGAACATTTTTTCAAGGACGAAAAGATCAATAAACGTGAGTTTTTTTTTGGAATATTTTTTAAGGACCAAAAGATTAATAAACGTGAGTTTTTTTTGAATATTTTTTAAGGACCAAAAGATTAATAAACGTGAGTTGTTTTTGGAATATTTTTTTAGGGCCAAAAGATCAATAAACGTGGATTTTTTAAGATCGGACCAATAAACGTGGATTTTTTAAGGAATATTTTTTCGAGAGCCATAAGAGATGAAGTCGTGGAATTTTTATGAATATTTTTCAAGAGTCATCAAATTTTTGAAGAATTGTCTTCAAGGATAGCCTGTGGAATAATCAAGGAATTGCAAGGATCATCTACCCATAATAGTGAAAATTTAAGAGATTTTTTAATGGATCATCTTAGCTGTAATCCTGGTTGCGAATTTTAAAAAATATATATTTTATAGATCATATTTTATATCCCATAATTTTGGGTTTTGAAAAAGGAACCCCAGGAATAATCAAGGACTAACAAGAGTGTACATGTCAAAGTTTCAGGGTGTTGCTAATCACACTCCAAATGTATTCATAAACTCATCCCCATACCTCTACTAATCTCAAGGATCAACCTCTTACTCATTGCATGAATTACATAGTTTTTAGGGGCCTCAAGTGTTTAATGTTTAAAGAAATATAAATCAAATAATAAAAAAATTAAAAAAAAAACTATTACAGTTCCCGGCGATGGTGGCAGTCAGGTTGATGCGCGCCTAAACAAATCTACCTCACCAAATATCTTGTGTGCCAAACAATCCGATTGGTTTAATTTGTGGTTAAATTTGGAACTTATTGTGATACCAGCCGTTTACTGTTGGGTTGATAATGTCAAGCTGTACTATGACAATGTGACGCGTACAACGCACAATACACCCGGTGTAGATATTCGCATACCAGGATGGGGTAATCCTGAAGTTGTTGAATGGATAGATCCAACACATAATAAGGCTGGAGCCTATTTCCGGACACTGGCTTCGATGTTGGCTGATCATGGTTATGTTAGGAATAAAAATATACGAGGTGCACCCTATGATTTTCGTAAGGCGCCAAGTGAGTACTGAATGGAATATTCCTACCCAAAGATAAAAAATAATATTTAATTTTTTTCCCAGATGAACACAAGCAATTTTTCATTGATCTCAAGGAATTGGTAGAGGATACCTATGAACAAAATCAACAGACTCCCATCACCTTTATAACACACAGCATGGGAAGTCCCATGACATTGGTGTTTTTGCAACAACAAACAGCGGAATGGAAAAACAAATATGTAGCCCGACAAATTAGTTTGGCCGGTGCCTGGGCTGGCAGTGTTAAGGCCCTAAAAGTTTTTGCCATGGGTGATGATTTAGATTCATTCTTTTTGAGTGGAAAAATTTTGAGAGCTGAACAAATTACAAACCCATCAACGGCATGGCTACTGCCCTCACCACTATTTTGGAAGAGCAATGAGGTGCTGGTGAAAACTCCCTCACGTGTATACACCATGGCCCAAATGGAACAATTCTTTACGGATATTGATTATCGTACGGGTTGGGAAATGCGTAAAGATACCTTACATTACACACTGAATTTTGGGGCTCCTGGAGTTGAACTACATTGTTTGTATGGTGATGGTTTGGATACCGTAGAGAGGTTTGATGAAATGACTTATTCCGAAGAGGAAATTATTAAATAATTGCGATTTTCTTTTTAACAGATTGGAATACAAAAAGGATGACATTTCTGGCGAAACACCCAAATTAATAATGGGTGTTGGTGATGGTACCGTCAACAAACGTTCACTACGTGCTTGCCACTACTGGAATGGCTATCAATCGGCCAACGTTTCCACAATGGCCCTAAGTGGTGTCGATCACATGGGCATTTTGGAACATCAGACTGTTATAGATTATGTTAAGAAGGTTTTGGGCCTATAGACTATACCAAATATTTTAGTTCCCACTTTTTTGTATGTAACACTCAATATAGGTTATATTTTATTTGCGATTTTGGTAATTTTTAAACGATCAAAAAATAATTATAAATTTTTTATGCCATAGTTTAGTTTTTTTTGTGAGTTATTCTAGTTCAATTTATTATATTATTTCGATACAAAACGGACAAGCGTATGTGTTATACTCGTGTTTAAGAATGGACGCAATAAAATTTTATATATGACAAAAAAAGATAAACGTTAATTATTTTAATAGAATCGATACGATTCTATACAGAATAGACTCTATCCATAGACCGAAAATTTGGTAAATAGAAGATAAGATAGTACTGAATTAAATTTAGGAATTCTGTAATCTATGATGAGCAATATCGGTCTGAAAAAGGAGATATTATTAAAATTCAGACATGTACAGAATCGTATCAAATTTATTATAATTTAGGATAATCCTAGCTGTAGGATCTGGATTTTGACGTAATTTAGAGCATTGAAAAATGTTGATGGCGGTAAAGTCAACAACTAAAGCATTACATCAAACTAAAATAACGTCGTATTATGGGACCCATGTGTGGGAATATGAAAATTATCAAAACTAATAATATACAGGGTGAGATAAAAAAAAAACTACAACAAAGTCAAAAGCCATATTTTTACATTTTTTTAATTTTAATGAATGAAAGCATAAAATGTCGGAAATGGCCAATGAAACTGTCACACGCTGCCCGAATGATGCTCTGCGGTATTTTTGCCCATTCCCGGCGAAAAGGTGATCGACACTTTGGTATTTTTTAGTGCCAACCATGATTTCGAAAATACTCCAGACACAATAGTAAAACGGATTGGTATCCGGAGATTTTGGTGGCCATTGTGCGCTGGAAATGAAGCGAGGAACCTCATTCTGTAACCATTCTTGGGTGGCGCGTGCTGAGTGCGATGGTGTGAGTCCTATTGGAATGTCCAAGGTCTGCGACCAAAATGTTTGCGCGCCCAAGGCTTTAATACAACCTCCATTTATCCTCCATCGTCATTTATTCTGATGCCACGATCGATTAATACGAGCGGAAAGCGACCATCGGCTGTTATGTCGGACCTTGAGTACTGGTGGCCAACTGTAGGCGCACATTTTCAGCTAAACTCTTTGGGAAGTAAACACGATCATTTTGTTTGTTTACAAACTGCAGGACAACGAATTTTTTCTCATCGGAGAAAACCAAATTCGGCAGTTCACCATTTTCGGCCGATTGTTCATTTCACCCTGCAAAACAGTACTTTAAGATTTAAGGAATTTTTGCTTCAATTTCCAATCAAATTAGTTGTTGTTTGATATTTCGGTTTTGCAGCAGGAAGTTGTCGTCGTACTCATTATACATATTGTGTTTGTGTTCTGCTAATCTGGTCAAAAATTCGGCTATTTTGATCGGCTGTAACCAGAGGTCTTCTGGAGTGAGTGATTTAGGTTTGGCCGGGTAATTGAAAAGTTACAGCGGGCAGACGTTGCCCACATCTTCGTCAATTTGTACCCAATACGTATTGAGACGACTGCACCATTTTGAACGCAAGTGCGCCAAAACTACCCTGGTTTGTCTGGCCAGCCGACGTTTTTCAGCTGCAATGGATGGGTGGCGGACTCCGAGAACGGCATTCATGGTATACTAAAATAAATTCATTTGGTCCTTGATTCAGAGGCTCTCTCTTGTAACCTTAGACCTCCCTTTCTAGATCATGTATGTCCTTCCTGACACGCCTGGGTGGGGGAGTATTATCCACCATATGATGGTTTGGATGACTCCCACAATAACAGCCATGCAGGTACTGCAACGAGAGCATTTGGTTATGCTGACATCCGGAAAGGGCCTTCGCCTCCTCATGTATGTAGATGGTTCAATTCTCAGTAGAGTTTCAGCTCCAATTGTCAACCAAATCATTTTCTTTTTATGGATAAATAAAGACTGAGGAAATCGGAATCGTCTTTTTAGACAGGTTTTCGCATGTAGTAGGATATACAAATTTTAGTCGGGTCGAACTAAACCTGGGTTAATACTCGTTATACCCTCAACCATATGGCTACAAAGGGTATATATAATTTTGAGGTCATTACGGCCAAAAAGTGCCAAATCGAAGTAACGGGTTTAGACCCCGGGTCTCTTTTGGATGAAACCCGTTTCACGTCATGTGATGTCGATCGATGTATATTCTAAAATTTTAATAAGGCAAATCGTATGGGGTACTCAATAAAGTCCAAATTTAGTCTGTGGTACCTTACATAAAAATGGAGGGGAGTAAACTTTAATAATATTTATTATCAGGCTAACAATATTAGATTATTGGGCAATATTAGACTACTCCTTCTGATTCTCCCTCACAATATGTAAACATTTTGGTTAAAAAAAAACTCTCTTGAAAAGGGGAATCAATTTTCGATTTTCTTAAAATTTGCACGTACCAATATCTTTGTCTATACTAGAGCAAACCTTAGAATATTTCGCCCACTTTTTCTATAAAATAAATTTTCACATTCTATTTGTTCAAGGTAGAAATAGAGCTTAACCTTAAACTTACTTTCCAGTAAATCATTATCAGAATCGATTTCCTGTCATCACAACCTTGGTCAACTTTAAATAGCTTGACAATTTCGCTCATTACTATGACAGATTCGTAATTCCTTTTGAGGTGGTGACTCGTTTGTACTTCCTTCTTTCAACTTATCCCCATTACGTGACGATATCATAAATTTATGACGCCCCATCACAAAAGTGGGTTAAACAAATAGCAAGAAATTTGTTTTCATAGCTTCGCTTTTTGTTGGTTAAATAGCAGCGACAAGGAAATGTGTCTTGGGTCAACGGATGTGTTGTGTTTGTTGTGCAACAACGAATAAATTCTGTTTCCTTCGTTTTGAAAGGAAAATAAAAATACAGGAACCATTTCTGTGATATTTTTAGTTCTACGTGATTTGTAAAATGCTTAGCTGATTTGCAATTTGCTGTGAAAGTGGATTAATGCTTACGTAAAATGGGGATATTTTTTCTCAAAAGGGTTTAAAATGTGTCTACTGTCTGAAGGGAATCTTGGAATGTTTTATTTGGGTTTGTTGTTCATTTGCACCTACGCACGTATTTGGCATAAATGAAATATTCACGTCTAGGTAAACAATGGTCCAAAAATATTGCAGTGTACAGAAGGAAATGGGTGTTTTTCGTAACACATACCAGGACATTAATGATTTTTTTTAACACGAAAGAGGGAAAACAGTCTTCTAGACAAACACGACCTTCGAAGATATTTCTTAGCATGCAAGTCCTTTGGGAAATGTTTTCTGCCGATTGAAGATTTGTAAGAGCATATCAAGAGGAAAATGTAGGGAATGGGGAATCTGTGGAAGGTATTTTATCTATGTAAGATCTATGAAATATCAAAATCAGATGTTCTATGTATATAGACCTTTCTAAGGACTTTTTATGTGCTGAATATTTATAGAAGATCCTTCCTTCCATAGAAAATTCGTAACAATATAAGAATGGAGCATGGGACGTTTTTATACCCTGCAACACATAGTGGTAAGGGTATTATGTCTTTGTGCATTTGTTTGTAAGATGCAGAAGGAAGCGAGATGGACCCATAGTTACTTTTGAGAATCTTCATAGAATCACTTTCTGAGTCGATTTATGCATGTCAGTCCGTCCGTCCATGTATTTTTGTGAACAAAATGTAGGTCGCATTTATTATCCGATTGAGATAAAATTTCCAAACAATAGTTGTATGGCCCAAGGATTACCCCTATTGAAATTGGTGATAATCGGTTCAAATTTAGATATAGCTCCCATATATATCTTCAACCGATTTCGGGTTTAGATGTGCATCAAATGGCTAATATCCGAATGCAACCAACCGAATTCAGCCTTGAAGCAAGTACATCAAATTTGGTGAAAATCGGTTCAGATATAGCTATAGCTTCCATATATACAGAGTGAGTTGAAAACACTGCAACCAACTTCAGGCTGCTGTCATTTCTGAGCCACTCGTCCGACAGATGTTAAAATTGTACCAGTGACAGCTCATTATATTGTTTACAAGCGTACAAAAAGCCTTTTGGAGAGAATTTTCCAGAAAAAAAGTTATTCGTGATGGAATTCAAGCGCGATAGTGTGATTTCTCTATATTTGGCTGGAAAACCAGCATTTAAATGTGAATAAATATTGTGTGTCTCTGTGATACTGGAAGCGTAGTCCGACGTCAAGGAAGTGGACGGACGAAATTCGCGTCGCAGTGGCCGAAAAATGGTTCGTGAGCTGAACATATCTCAATATTCCATTCGGCAAATATTAAAAATTAGTTCGGGGTAAAGCCATTGAAATTTCAAAAAGTGCAAGAACTTACACCGCAACAGAAAGAAAATAGACTCAAAAGAGCTAAAGAGTTGGCCGAAAGGGGTGAATTGCCGAATTTGTTTTTCTTTGTTTGTAAACCAACAAAATGATCGCGTTTATTTGCCAAAGAGGTCAGCTGGAAATGTGCACCTTCGGTTGGCCATCAGAACTCAATCGACGGTCATGGTAATGTTGTGGGCCGCCTGGGCATCAGAGGTTCCTCGCTTCATTTCCAGCGCACAATGGCCACCAAAATCTTCGGATACCAATCCGTTGGACAATTGTGTCTGGAGTGTTTGGAAAGCAAGGTTGGCACTAAAAAATACCAAAGTGTCGATCACCTCAGGCACGCGCTTAGCCGGGAATGTGCCAAAATACCGCAAAGCAACATTCGGGCAGCATGTGACGGTTTCATTGGCCGTTTGAAGGTCATAATTCGTGCCAAAGGTGACCAATTCAAACAAATCTAAAGTTATTCTAAGTATGCAAAGATTATGTCGTTTGACCTTGTTGCAGTTTTTTGTATCTCACCCTGTATATATCGATTTCGGGTTAATTGTGCACCAAATAGCGAATATCAGTCCAAATAACCTGAGTTTTGGCACTTCCAACCGAATTAAGTCTAGAAGCAAGTACATCAAATTTGGTGAAGATCGGTTCAAATATAGCTATAGCTCCCATATATAAGTCGGATTTTGTGTTTAAGTTCCTCACATTCGTAATATGCACTCCACAAGAATGATATTTGGTACCAAATATCATATACAGCCCATAATAACCTCTGCCAAATGTTATCGAGATCGGTTCAGATTTGGATATAGCTCCCATATATGCCTTTATCCGATTTCAGGTTTATTGTGAATTGTGTCAC